GAATATAAAATCTTATAGTGCGACAATACGACTTACAACCATAATGAGACACGAGGCTCTTGAGCCTCATCTATTAGAATTTGGTTCTTCTATTCGGTTAGAATCTGTTTCTTCTCCTACGATATTTCTTGTCCCTTGATTTGAGCAACCAATGGGGTTGCTCAAATTGTTGCAACTAATATAATGATATTAGTTTTGTTTGGGTGGAAATGATATACAATTTCTCTTAATTAAATATTTCTTTAGCATAAATGAAATTCGATCTCTGTCCCATTGGTTCGCCTTCTTAAATTTCACGTTGGTAATAAAATTAATCTTAAGACTTAACTTGGAAACAGAAAGGTAACAACTACCCATACAGAACCCACGAAACTTGACATTATATCGAGAAAAAGATTATCATTTTGATTAGTCTAATTTTTGAATGTGTTAGTGCATGTTTTATGTACATATTAGGTATTTTGCAGAAATGAGGGTACATATTGTTTGTCTGTCAAATTTGATGTTTGAAATAAAAAGTGCCAATAATCAATTAAAAATAATATCGAAAATTAGAAAAAACGTTTATTCTGTGATTTTTATCCTTTTGCGCCAAATGTCAAGATATACCAGCATTTCGATGATTTCTATTTTTCCTCATTCATTTGAAACTAATGATATAAAAAAATAATTACGACAGCATGTCGCGTGAATGGATTATAAAAACTGAATAATATGGCTATTAGTTTATTTGGGTTTTAATTCCATAATAATATCATTTCCAGCTGACAGCTTTCTAATTAGCGTCCTTAGCGTCTAGGCACACAAAAAAATAAAAGTCGAATGCTGCAAGGCAGACCTATGTATTCTCGTGCACTTTGACCCGCTGAAAACGAGTATGATGTCCGTTTTGTCCGATTAGCTCTTGCAGATTTCCTAAGTTCAAAAAACACCTTAAGACTGCTCCAAAAATCTCAAACTATTCAATAAAAAGCTTAAATGAGTTGACCACTATTTTCATACGCATTTTGGGGCGCTAAGGTCAAATCTGAGGTCATAATTGGCCGATCGGTTTTGACATAACCTCAACAAATACCTTAAAAATGCCCGAAACATCCGTAAAAAGTAAATAAAAAGGATAAATGAGTTGCTCACTATACATATTCTAATTTGAGGCGCTGAAACTGAATCTGAGGTCAGGATCGAAATTCCTTACTGATCGGCTAGATCAGTAAGGAATTTCGATATAACCTCAAAAAATACCTAAAAAACTATCAAAAACCCAAAACAATTAAATTTAAAGCTTTAATCAAAAACTTTAAACTTAAACATAACCCAAGGCCAGAGCTTTACATCAAGAACTTTAAACTAAGAATTCTTAACTTAACGTAACCTGAGACAAGAACTTTAGATACAAAATTTAAACCTATTAAAAATTAAGACGAGAATAGTTGAGTTTCTAAGGCAAGAACTATTAAGGTTTAGAGCTCTTGGTTTAGAGTCCTTTGTGTAAAGTTAGTGTCTTAGAATATGTTACATTTTATATAGTAAGAAATATTTTTCATTTTGTCGTTAACACTTTTCGATATTTCGGAACATCGACTTTACTAAAAAAGAAGGCAATAATTTAACACATAGAACTTTAAACTAAGAACTCTAGATCTAACAAAACTTAAAACAAGAACTTTGGACCAAGAACTCTAAATGTAACATATTCTACTACAGGAACTTTAAACAAAAAACTTTAACTTTAAAACCAAGAACTCAAAACCTTAATATGTAGTTGCCTTAGGAATTTAACTGTTCTTGTCTTAATTTATAACAGATTTAAGTTTTTGGTTAAAGTTCTTGTCTCAGGTTATGCTAATTCTTTGAATTCAATTGTTTGGGGTTTTTGGTCATTTTTTAGGTTTAGGCTAATTTTGACCTCAGATGTAGATATAGCGATTACCTGATTTATCCTTTTTATTTACTTGTTTCGGATTTTTAGGGCCTTTTTAGGTTGTTTTTGAGGTTATGTCATAATCTTTAACTGGTTATTTTTAACCAATTTTGACCTCGGATTCGGCCTCAGCGTCTCAAAATATGTATGCAAATGCTGGTTAGCTCATTTAAGCTTTTTATTTACTTGTTTGAAATTTGTCGGGCATTCTGAAGGTGTTTTTTGAGGTTCGGAAAAGCGCAAGAGCCAACTGGATAAACCGGACATCGGATTAGTGTTCAGCGAGTCAACATGCATGGGAATACATAGGTCTGCCTTCCAATACTAGACTTTTATTTTTTTGGTGTGCCTGTGTTATTATTAATGAACACAACTAGAGTTCGTGCGAGCGCGGAGTGTAACAGGACCGTACTCAGTTTACGAATGAAAATGTTAATAAGTTCACAGAAACTATGTTATCATAGTACATTATTACACAGTCACACATTATTACATTCCACAGCGCCGACACTGTGCATGTCCTACCCTTGACTTATTACGAAAACTGCGGTAGCAATTTTAGTTATTTATGGCACGCTGTAACAGCCAGTGGCCGGTATTGCATCGTGTTGATACGTTTCGTTTTTACGTATTCGCCGTGTCTTTAAATAACTTTATAAATATTAATAATTATTAGTTGAGGGGAGACGTGAATAAAGTGAGGTACCATGCCAAAGGTGAAAAGAAATAGACGGGGAAAAAACGTGGTTTGACAGTAATCCCCAGGGTTTTAGGGACATACGTATTGAAGGAAATGACCTTTTTTGTACTCTTCCTACAGGAACAATTTGAAATAATGAGTAATGTACAAAAAATATATACGACGCCAATAACATACGCCCAGTCAGTAATACAATAAAAGAAAAAATGCAAAGCGTGTTAAAAAAATCCAGGATATTTTATTTTGGAAAACATATGTAAAGTTTTAGTTGGTACATATCAGGAGTTACCAGAAAATATATTATTATATAGTTCAAGCCTCAACAATTTCTCATACTGTCCATTGTCAACAGTAGACGTTGAACGGTCCTTTTCCATACACAAGTTAATATTAAGTGATAAACATCGTCGTTTCACTCCAGAACACTTAGAAAAGCACAATAATATGTTTTAACCACCGTCAACCTGTCATGGGAACCTTGTCTCAACACTGACGTTTGTCGGGTAAGTGTTGCTACTGTTACGTGTTATCTTAATTTATATAGGTATTTTATCCTTGAACCGTACTATTTGATAAAAATAGTACTATGTTGCTACACAATTTATGTAAACATATTAATATTTTCATTCGTTAACTGACTACGGTCCTGTTACACTCCGCGCTAGCACGAACTCTAATAATAAAATTTGCTAACAGTTTTGGTATAAGAATAAAAAAATATAAACCGCAATAAGTTGTGATACAAAGAAGAGAATAAATACCATATGTTAGATAAAGCACTCAATATTCACATAGCTTAATTAAAAAAAGTGGACTTACCGTATTCAGCACTAAAATAAGCAGGACCGACAGAGATATAGGCCAACTAAAAACAGAGTTGGCCAGTAGCTTTAATATTATTATGGCGCATTTAAGAATCTGAATAATAGCAAGCGTGAAAATCAGGAACGTTACTAATCCAAAAATATCGTTGTAATGCTGGACTAGCTCCCATACACTTCTGAAAGACCTCCCTATGCTCACGATATCACTCGTATATTTTTCTTCTAAGCGCTTGTTCGATGGTGAAAAATCATTTTTAGTGAATTTTTCCAATTTGGCATTTAAGTCTTCATAACAGCATCTCATGGCTAACACCATACTACTCGACGTTATAGCATACATAAAGCAGTAATATTCTCCTATCACTATATAAGCAAAAATGAGTAAATAGTATTTGCCGAAACCATGATGCCAAAGGTACCCACAATATATGAAAGATGCGATGAAGTAAACATGTCCCAGCAAAAGGTGTAAGTAAAAGTTTGAACAAGTCGCATAGTGTAAGCAGTTCTCATTCGTCAAGTCCAAGCCGATAAATTTCTTGAGGAAGTATCCCCACTTTTGACGATTGATAAAAACTGAGCCGAAGATCTGGTACTCCATGAGGAAAAACGATATAATGGAACTAAGGAACCAAAGAATCGTTTCGATTATGTTGTCATGTTCACTTAGTTTTCTATTTACTACAGTCACAAGAAGTACAGTTCCAAAAACAATTCCAAGTATGACAGCGTACACTCTGTTTAAGAAACTATTTTTGAAGTTGGCATTTTCAAAATTGTACCAGGGCGTGATGCAAAAAACATTTCCAATTAAGTAAGCAAATTTTCTAAACTTCCAATTCCAATTCACCAAACCATGAAATGGAACCATGATTCTTCTTATTTATTGGACAAACTGTATTGCTCTCTTCTCTGGGTATTGACGCACTTTCCAGAAATTTTTTCACGAAGTAGAAGACTAGACAAGGGAACGCTAACTTGGTAATTGAATTGATGAAACGTGTTACACCCTTGTTGGTTAGACATGTTTGTTTCAGAAGAAATTAATTCTGTAATGTCATTGATCGATGTTAACACGAGCAATTTGTGAGAAATTTAATATTGATTATATAGAAACGTCAAGAAAATTGTATTGGTAAGATAACAGGTTTGTACTATTTACATTCTACAGACAGCGACGGTTATAATATTCCTACCATATTAGCAGCAATAATTTTATTTTATCCACAATCATTTCTTTTGATTTTAAGCTTTTAACAACATATTTTACTTTCAGTTGAACTATGTAAAGTGACATTTTATCCACTAGTGAATTAAAGTAATTGTATGCTACTAGTGGAATAAAGCAACAGTATTTCACTGAAGCGCAAATAAGCAACAGAAATTATTAATTAACTTCATTTCTATTATTGAACAAATTAGTCTAACAATCTTATTATCATACAGAAGGCATCTTAAGTATCAAGTGAAGATATTTACTCTTATTTGAAAGTGGACGCTTCTCTTTGGATTTTTATCGCAATATTAAGTTCATTACAGATTCGTCAATATATGAGCCGCGGCGATAGCTCAGTGTGTAAAGCGCCAGGTGAGTAGATTGCGATTACTCCGAGAGCTATTCTCCGCGCGGGTTCGAATCCCGCCTGTGGCAATTGGCACCTGTCACAGGGTTTGGTTGTGTGTCCTACGTCTTTTCCATGTGTATTCTACCTCTGCACAGTTGTAATGACTCTTAGAGGGAGAATGTTAATTTGTATGGTGTGATTTATTTAAAAAATAAATAGCTTTCTGCAATACTGAACCTCTTCTATCTACCATGCCGCTTATTGTTGTAATATCTGTACCTTTGTTCGCCAACAAAGTTTTTCTTATGCAATGACCGTTTTCAGTTTAGCGTCTGGTAGATTCCAAAACGAAGCAACTTTTGACTGTTTTAGGAATACGAAAGCATCACTTCTTCGTTTATTACCATTTTTCTTTTTCTTTCTATTCAGTAAATTTGGCGAACTCTTTTTCATAAAGTTCCCTGAACTTCTCTAGTAACAGACTCAAAGTGGCCTCTGCAGCTTATTCGGGAATCTCTGCAGGAATTGTGTGAGCTTCTTCCATTTTTCACTAAAGTTTTTCTTATGCAATGACCGTTTTCAGTTTAGCGTCTGGTAGATTCAAAAACGAAGCAACTGCTGACTGTTTAAGGAATACGAAAGCATCACTTCTTCGTTTATTACCATTTTTCTTTTTTCTTTCTATTCAGTAAATTTGGCGAACTCTTTTTCGTAAAGTTCCCCGAACTTCTCTAGTAACAGACTCAAAGTGACCCCTGCAGCTTCTTCGGGAATCTCTGCAGGAATTGTGTGAGTTTCTTCCATTTTTCAGTAAATTTTTTTCTTATGCAATGACCGTTTTCAGTATAGCGTCTGGTAGATTCAAAAACGAAGCAACTTCTGACTGTTTAAGGAATACGAAAGCATCACTTCTTCGTTTATTACCATTTTTTTTCTCTCTATTCAGTAAATTTAGCAAACTCTTTTTTTAGTTTAGCAAAGTTTCCTGAACTTCTCTAGTAACAGACACAAAGTGGCCTCTGCAGCTTCTTTGGGAATCTCTGCAGGAATTGTGTGAGCTTCTTCCATTTTTCAATAAACTAACATTTTAGTGTAATGATAAAAAATAAATAAACCATAGACTACCTTCAGACGGTTTACTTTATAGTGCAAAATATGCCGTTCATTCGAACTCTCTCTTACAACGAGTTAACCGATAACAGTATATTTTTCTTGCATCACGATAAATGGACATTGGGACGCTGCTGACTAAATAGATATTGTAACGTAGAAATCTCGATCATGAAATCCCTAACTTACATTATTTTCGAATACTGAAACAAATATTTACTCTCAAGTGTGTCAATTAGCGGTTAAAAATGTTTGCGTTCTTTGCTTTCTTTGTGTTTTGAATTACGTTTAGAAGAACTTAAGGGGGACTTCTACCTTGAGATGTCATTTTTGTATTATTTTTTCGTGGGGGGAAGTAATTAACATTAACAAATGGGTTTTTTGGGAATTATAATTCAATAATTTTTACATGAAAAAACATTTTTTTAAATCAGAAAAAATCCAAAATGGCGACCGCCAGAACATCGCAAATTGAAGGCCGCGAAAATTTCCGTCTAAACGGCTGACATTGTAGCACCCTATGTGTTGATTTGAAACAGAAATACAAAATATTTTCTTAATCAGTTGTGTTTTGGTCAGGGAACAACGAGATATTTTTTCGATTACTGCAAAATTACAAAAATGGCGGTAAATTTAAAAAAAATGTGTTTTTTGCAATTTTTTTTCTACAAAAAAAATTAATTGAAATGTTTTAAATGTTTTTATCGAAAAACTGGCTCGTCAGACCCTGGAGAAATGTTTTTTACGCATTCGTGCAAAATTTCAAGTCGATAGCTTAATTACAGTGGCCGCTAGAATGTCAGCCATTTTTAAAAACGTGATTCTGAGAAAAACGCGTTTAAAGTTTAAAATGTGAATTATTCATAGAGGCTTATATTTACCGTCAGTCTGCAATGCCTGGTCCGTGAAGACATCCCTCTCCTGACACACAAAAATGAAAAAAAAAACAATCGATTTTTTCAAATGTATCAAGGTAGAAGTCCCCCTTAAGAGTTTATTTATATTATAGAAAACCTAGCAGCATAGATTTTCTATGATTTATATTCACTATGTATTGTATAATAATGTGGTGCGTCCGAAAACGAGATGGACAAATTCTTTTGTTTCCCTCGTCAGGAAGAAAGGTACGTATTAAATATGACGTATATATGTGTATTATGTAAAAATCGTGATAACTTATTGCACAGAAGAGACTAATTACTAATTAAGAATCGTAGGTATATGTAGGTATAATCGAACTGTATAAATTATGGTTACCTATCTGACATTTTTTACTTGTACCTTGTATATTTAGGATGTCTCTTCACCATCTATTAAAATGGTATTATCTAATTTAACATATAGGTGTATTTGGCGATATTTAACTAGCAAAAAAAAATAACTGCAGATCAAAGCTATGGCAACCGGGGTTGGGGATGGTATGCCAAGGAATATTTCCAGGAATTGTATGCATTTGTAACCGACACTTTGCGGAAGATGTTTTATTCCCAAGACAACACCCCTCCGATTAACACCACATGCAGTTCCAACTTTACTCATTTCATTATGAGGCAAATAAATTACAAATTGAAAACACGCAATAGAACAGATGATACTTACTCCGATTTGTAACATTGTATTGCATTCGTGTTTTAGTTGTGTTCTGTCTATGTCAATCCAAATATTTATGATAATGTAAACTATTGTATAAAGACCAAAAATGTGTCTTGTAACTCAGGCAAAAGGACAGCGAAGCAACTGCAGATAACAAGTTGGGATTAAAAAAATGGGTTAAGCTGTCCACATACTAACCAAAAAAAAATAAATGGTGGTTTGATGGTTAAACTTGGGCAAGGGATAACGTCGTAACTAAGATAAATTTTTAGTTTAATTTCTACAGCTCTACCCACAACCTCGAAGCAAACTTAGCAAAGCAGTATCATGCCTATCTCCTTATAAATAACGACCGACAGTATCAAATCAACATATAAATAATGTCACGTATACAAGATATTTACGGTAGAATACGATAAATCTCACTAAACAGAGATTGTCTTGGTAAAAGATGAGCCGATGTGGAAAAAATAATTTTTGAAAAATTCACGCCACGAGATGAATGATTGCCCAACAACCCCGGAGGTTAGTGTCTAACGACAGTATCGCAGATTCATTTGTATTATTGTTTTTGCGATAGTCTATTATTGCGGTATGCTGCAAAATGTATTAAAACTTGATTATTACATATAAATACCAAGCTAATAAAAAAGATAATTTGTGCAACCGATGAGCTCAGTGAATACATGCTGAAAAAAATTATATTACTATCTGCATTTTGAAGTCTGTAGATACCCTCTATATTTTTAATCATCACATATTTTAATCATATATTTTTACTACTCAACATATGAACTAACAGTTAGCTAATATGTCAGATAAATGTTTTAAAACGAAATTACTGCACATTAAAATTATCTAGCCACTTACCATGTTCAGTGTAAATTCCAAAAGAAGCGAAAGAGATACGGCCCAGGTGATTCTTGGAAGGTCCATTAGTCTTAATATTAGAGTAACGCATCTCAAAATTTGAACGATGGTGTACCAAAAAATTAAAAATGTACCTAATCCAAAAATATCATTGTAGCAGCGAACTAGTTCAAGAAGTTTGATGTAATATTTCCCTATACAAAATATGTTTTCCATGTATTTCTCTTCATTGGTGTCTTCGTTGCGTTTTATAAGGTGCTTCTGGGTTTGTCTCTCTAAACGGTCATTTAAGTCTTCATAAGCACATTTAATGACCATGACAACACTACTTGATATTAACGCGTAAAGAAAACAGTAATATTCCGAAATAGCTGTGCATAAACTTAAAAATATATATCTATTATTTGAATTATACCTTTCAAAACTGCTGTAAAAAATAACAAGTGCAAAATAAAGATGTCCTAATGCCAGTCGCAGGTTAAAATTAGCACATCTATAACACTTTTTAAAGTATTCATTCTGCAACTGAAATTCAAAATACATCCCCAAGAATCTCATCCACTTTTCATTCTTGATAAAAGTCGAGCTTAAAACGAGATATTCCACGAGCCAGAGCAAAATCACGGCATTTAGGGTTAACAGTAGCATCTCAAGGTCGTTATGATAAATGCCTGATTTTATTAACGTTTCGCTGACAATCATTATTCCAAAAATTATTCCGAAGACGAGAGAGCACCATTTATTCGCATGAGAGTTCTTCATAGATCCAGTCTCAAAGTTGTACCATGGTGTTCCACAAAAAAATAGTTCCCAGCGTATACACAAATCTAAATCTCCGATCTTCCTTTTGCAAGTTACCGGTTTCGTACGTATTCATTTTAACGAAGAAACCAATCTTCTGACTACACTCATATGTAACCATAATACGACTATTTCATGCGGTGTTAGAAGTTCACCAAATATAAACAGGAAGATGGATAATATGACGTTTATCCTTGTTGGGATAATGTAAGAACCGCTACTACACCTTTATTTGTTCGTCCTAAAGCACCTAATTACTATTTGATCGATTGGCACTCCTCTGGAGAACAATTTCAGAAAATAGTTTAGTACCCTTATACTATGAGTAATTGGAACTCATTGATTAACTATGGATGAATTAGTTCATAATTTCAGATTAATATAGGGAAAATATTAAAGTTACTTGTAACTGTAAAACATATTTGTTGTTAAATTAAATAACCGTTTCCCTACCATAAAATTTACATATGAAATCGAACACAATGAACAGCTACCATTTTCAGATGTATTAGTTATCAGAAATAGTGAAAATAAGTTAGAATTTGATGTACTTATATAAAAAAGAAACCGCGACTCTTAGATTCACACCACCCTTTTCAAAATAAAATGGCAAGTTTTAATTTTCTAATTCACCGTTTGTCAAATTTCTCCCTCAGTAAAGAGAGGTTTGAACATGAGAAAAAAATAATTAAGAATATAGCTAAGAATATCG